AAATGAAAACGATGGATTAAGAATAAGACTTGGTAAAAGAGATTCCAGAGAAGGCATGCAAATATTCATAAAAAAAAAAATTACTAACGTTACGCTATTAAACTGAGGAGGGCATAGGACGAGAAGGATAATAGCACTGCTGGTACTGGACACTGCAGATCACGGGGATATATTTACACATTCGGAACAGTACAAACAAGCCTGTGCAGATATTGTCTGCACCCCTAGGAAGAAGAAACAGTGGAACATGTCCACTTTGGTGCGTAAGCCTATGCAGGAGATCCCTACTCCTGGAAGAGGTTTCCTCTTCCTAGGGTGAAGGATACACTTTAAGAAAGGCACAAAAAAGGCTTACGAAAGCTTTGGGATCTGGCCGAAGGTCGTGGGTTCGAATCCCGCTCGTGGCTCGTTTTTATTTCAACCAATACCTTGCATTAATTGATTAATTAATTAAAACAATTTAAAATATTGACACTACAATTTGTTGAAGACAATTCAAGCAGATAGCCATCGACTATGGTACTATATTTTATATTATATTTTATTTATACACATGAAAGAAAAATATTTATTATTTATGTATTTATATTTGCTAGAAAACACATTATAGCAACTATATAAACTAGGTAAAAATCAAACTTAGTGCAAAATAAGGGTAAATTTCTGCTACTTTTGATAATTTCCTTTTAAACGTGAAATTTTTAATTTATTTTCCTAAATCTTTTACACCATTAAAAACGCAACGATGTGCAGAATTTAATAAAATATTACCTATTCATTAGGTATTTTTTGAGATATGACGAACGAAGAAAAACACTTTCATTAATCAGTATCCAAATTGCTTATTGTCCCGATATTATTTTGAACCTTCATGTTCATCCTAGTCCGTTTATATCACTGTGTCTCACGATCAGACTCGTTTCGGTATTTCTCAATCTTCACTCATCAGACTTATAACTCTACCTTCGAAGGACCACTTAAATGTGATATTTAAAAAACCACCTACAGTTTTGTAAACAAGCTATAAAATTGAACTGGTAACGTAGAATGTAACTGGTAACGCAAGGCTACATGGACTAAAAGAAAAGACGAAACAATTTGAGCCCTGGGTCAATCTGTTTTCGCTTTTTAGGAGGATGGTCATATATAAAATAACCAGGTGTAGACATCCACCTGTTGACAATAACGCGAGGACATTTCAGGAAATCATATTCAAGAGGATGTAAATAAATTGGGAAAAAAACGAATTTACTCTGTGGCTAGAATATGAAATGTTACGGACCAAAAACTAATACCAAGAGGGGTCAATAAGGAAATGTTTTGACGACTCCCTGAGTTGGCTTGGCTAATTATTTTAATGGTTTATTCGACAATAAAACCTCCAGTATGAAATTTTTTTTAAAGAACAGTTTAAATTATATTCAATCTGCAGCGAAAATTTACAAGACTGAACGAACTAATAGTTTCAAAGTCTTGATGAAGAAGGATCTTTTCTTAGACAGTTTGACGAAAGAACTGAGTGTTTTCTTTTATTTCAAATTGATGTTATCCCTGATTTTTTAATGTAGAATTATAATATAATATTTGGTACTGTAATAATTATTTCAAAATAAATATTATACTAGATGATTTGACGATTTTTAGTTACTTTCATTGTGGGTAAGGTTCTCCATAATTTTAATTTAAATAAACATCTACGAATGGTACATGTTGATGGAGAAAAAGCTTTAGGCTTTGTTTAGCACAAGGCTCTTATTATTGAACTTAGCAATTATCTGACAGATAGAAAAATTTTCGTATTAAGAGCAATCTAAGAAACATAAGAGCTTGATTTCCCCAAGGATCTGTTCTTGGTCCAACTCTTTTCAATATCTTTATAAATGACTTTGGCAGTCTAAAGACAACGTAGGATATAGTTTTCTTTGCTGATGATACGCCTTTCATATACCAGAGTATATCACAGTGTTCTAAGTGACTGTAGAAAATTGCCCATGTTTTAGTAGTTAGAGAATCAGACCGAATAGTATCAAGATTGAATTATGTAAAAATAAACAACTCTTCTACACCACGAACCAAGACTGTTAAATATCTTGGTATGTATCTCGATTCAAAGCTTACTTTTGGCTACCATACAGAAAAAAAAGTCCAAAGGCCTTGGCATGAGCAGTCTTTATCCAGTGTTTAAATGCTTACACTACCATGCCTCTTATTTGGCGAAATACCTGCAAAATGAACCATGAAATGCTCCTAGTACCAAGAATTATTGGTGACTTCTAGCCATCAAACCTATCGACTCTTTCTCTCATTTGTAACTTTTTTTTAATGATAATAAATTATAATAGAGAGAATCTCAGTTACCCTAAATACAAACATAAAAGACTAAAACACTGAACATTTTAATGTGTAGAGATTAGTGACCGTTATTCGATAGTTATTCAGATATCGTGAGATGCGGTCGGGTGTGATGTAGGTTTCAGAAAAACATTTTCTTTATCGTGCCAACGTTTCGATCTTTTATTGAGATCATCTTCAGGGCCTGGGAATTACAAACAATGTTTACATTTAACAATTTAGGATTTGGAAAAGTGAATTTATACAATGCAAAATATATTTTATATTCAAACAAAGTATTTCTACTCACTCAAAGTGTTTGTCTTCTGTGTAATTGTGCCAACCTTGCGTGTCGTGTTGAGAGTGCCAATGAGATTTTGTTGTTTTATGTTTATATATGTTTGGATTTGAAGGGGTGGGGAAGGAAGTCGGTATATAAAAGATAATTTTGTGTAAGGCGTCGGCTTCTTTGAAGTGAAAAATTTTAATGTAATTAAGTATCTATTATGTTTTGTTTGTCCATTATTGTACACAAAATATCTGCACTAATCCTGAAAACATTTTTGTAGATTGCATTGAATCTTTAATAATAGTTAATTACAATTGTTTGTGGTTTATATTAATATATTTGCTCATCTAATTTTTATGTAAAGTGTAGTTGAGATGAAAAACTAGTGTCTTGAGCGGGACTCGAACCCACGACCTTCGGCTCAATACGCCGCTGCTCTAACTAAACTAAAAAACTGCCTTATCCACCAGCATGCGAGAAACTAACGACGTCCAGTCAGATACTTAGGACTAACCTATACAGACTGACGGGGAATCTCCACACAAGACTTTAAGGTACAACAACTAAACGGAATACTTGGACAACTTGGAAAGCTTTTAGGACCGAAATTTATTTTGACCGTCAAAGCACAACTATAGCTGCGACCACTTACCATATGGTGTGTACTGTATGGCTCAACCAAACCATCCATATCCTTCCAATAAAAAGTCCCCAGACTTGTCGCTACACTCATTGACCACAATGACCACAACATTTCTTTGCCAACAAACTGATCCGATCCAGATTCCAAAAGTTTCACATCCAGCACTCAATTCATCCTAACCCTTCTGCTTAAGCAGTGTCAGTGTCCTTACCAGTAGAAAAGAAAATGTTTGTAATATGTGTTAATATACAGACTACAAACAAATTGTATAAAACAAGTTTTATATGTAGAAAACAATCTGAACGATTTTCCTTCTTTTTTGTGTGTATAAATTCGCCATTTTGTCATTTTTTCTGAGCTCTTGTCACCTAATACGTGCGTTGAAATCTCCGAATTCAATAATAACACGAGGCAAACTCTTTTTATAATATGCCGATTTTTCTCCAAATGAAAATTGCAATTATTCTCTTCAGCTTTTACCCATGGCCCTACAAAACCGGACGAAAAGGAGGGCAACATACTGACATTTATGCATGTTATGGCCGTCGAAACATAACAAAATAAAAAATATAGGCTAAAAAAAATTTCAGATAAGCAAATTCCTTTGTAGTGGAAAAATTGTGCATTGAAGGGTTTATTCTACTAAATCAGTAATTTATCTATTTGTTTTGTTTTCTTTCTGATAATGGTCGAGTTTGAAATCTGAAGCCGAAAGTTTTTTAATTTCAGTAAGTACTATTTGATTCCTAACCCACTGTTTAAGCACTCTACACTTTCCATCCCGAAAACCAGCAAATTCGCCTTTAAGGTGTCTTGGGAGTGCTGGACAGTGTGAGTGTCCTGACCAGGAGAAAAAAATGTTTTTAATACATATGTGTTAATATATACAAGCTAAAAATAAATTAATTTTAAAAAGTTCTACTTCTATGTAGAAAAAAAAAATCTGAACGATTTCCATTCTTTATGCATGTATGAATTTGCCATTTTGTCATGTTTTTTTCTGAGTTCTTGTCACCCAATCTGTGCATTGAAATCTCCGATTTCAATAATAAACGAGGCAAACTTTTTTTTAATATGCCGATTTTTCTCGAAATGCAAATTGCAATTTATTCTCTTCGGCTTTGACCCATGGCATTACAAAATGAGACAACATGCAGACATTCATGCACGTCATGTCCGATGAAACAGACCAAAATATAAAAAAAATTTCAGATTAGCAAATTCTTCTGTAATGAAGTAACAACAAAAATTTTGTATTGAAGGGTTTATTCGGTTTTATCAGTAATTTATCGACTTGGTTTGTTTTCTTTCTGATAACGGTCGAGCTTAAGATCTGAAGCGGAAAATTTTTTAAATTCAATAAATACTATTTGAGGTTTATTTAACTATTATTTTGTAAACACGGCTTGCTGCCAATGATGAACTAAGCTCGAGTTACGGAAATGAAGCATTTTTGGAGGGGAGGGATTGGACGGAAATCGGCCTAATTTGTATAATTGTGGACCATTGTGTCTGTGCTAGGTTCTGCTAAATCTCGTTTGAAGAAATTATTACTTTTATGATTAGGGTCTTCCTTGGATGAATTTCATAGACCAAATACAATTAAATAGTCTAAATAAATATTAATTCCACCGTCATCTATGAATACAGGGGAGAACTATTTCGGCCCTTGCTTACTCTATATTTATACCTAGGACCCTTTAGGATAAAAACTAGACCCGTCTCCAGTCTGAACGCCGGAAGGGAAGGTGTTATTGTCTCTTGGATTTAATTCTCATAATTTGACCTTCGACTCTTGCTTGCTCAAATCCCATATCCTTTGTATACAAAATATTGTTTTTTGACAAAACACGCTGTTTCGGCCTCTTATGACTGGAAATAAGCGCGCAATTATTTCTTAAATCGTTTTAAGACTTGGACCAAAAGGGAAAATGGTAAATTACAAGAAGTTAAAAAAATTGCTCATATGGAGTTGCAAACAAAATAAAAAGGTGGGCAGTCAGTTGCCCACAGCAACCAGAATGGCCGAGTTAGAAGGTAAGTGTAAACATTCTCGCCTTTCAAATAATTCATTTTATTAATTATATATCTTATTCAATAAAACGATTTTTAAATACATTCAAAAATAGTAAATAATCCGTTTCCGCGATCATACGTTTGTACTCTTTGTTTTATATAATCTTCTAATAACAGGTGTTCGTTTTCGTAGCCTTGGCTTACTTACTCCCTCAAATTCAAAACAAATATTTATTTGACATTAGTAAATAAAGTTTTTTTACAATTTTCAAAAAGCTCAGGCACTTTTCTTGATATAAAAGCAGATAAATCAATCTATTACAATGTAATATATACCTTTTAGGCTAGATTGAAACTCGTCTAGCTGTATTGATCCGCTATCTCACCACCTTATTTTTCACTTTTGATTTTATTTAATTTTTCGCCCATGTAGACAGTAGACAATATTTTATGAAAAGTTCATTTTATCCATTGGTTAAACATGACGAAAAAACATCCATGCGTTTCAAATAAACGTATGTTTTTTTTAAATAAATTGCATTTAGTGCATATTTCCATCATGATATCTGGCTGGTTCTCGATTTTCTGTTCGATCCATATGTATCTATAGAGTCTCAAATTCGGTAAATATCACTCTAATATTCGGGTGGCTAGTTTCAGCGGCCGGCGTCCACTCAAAATTCAATGATATGAAATTGAAGATCAAATTCGGAAATACGGAAAATGTCAAATTGTATACCATGCCCCAACGTGTTGAGCCCACATTATTCATTTAATAGTAAGTTCAAGTTTATTACATTTTAATGTTTAAAGGGCTTATGAATATCTGGTAGGCCTACATGCATAGATTGTCCAGGCCTTTCCAAGAATGACACCCTGACTTCCAGTCTCTCTCAAAACATGTATTTCTACAAATGAACCATATTAACCAGAGAACACATATCTTTATATCCAACACGAAAATATGGTTTACAATTTATGGAATGGCAAATCCCATGGTTTCTGAACTTAAAATACTCACTACTCAAGATGAAATATCAAATTCGATTCATTTCTTACTGCAATCATACTAAATGAAGTATTGACCATCTGCTAGATTGACAGACAACCCAAAATTTTCATTACTATCCCTTCACACGACAAAATTTTCACTCAAGATAATATTTTTTGTCACTAATTGTATGAAGGTTGTTGTAAATTTTTGGTTCATCGTCTTTTAGTACTGGTTAGACTTATTTGAAATGATCTAAAGTGACTTATTGTTGAAAAAATTAATAAAAGATTGGATTGTTAGAAACTAGGACAGCTTTGTTAAGAACCTTTCTAGGGATTTGGCATCTCTTATACAGAAAATTGTTAGTATTTAAATTCAGGTCTTAAAACCTCTAGTTAAAACTACCAGTTCAGCACAAAAAGGCTTGACCTTATTTATCTCAAAGCAATAGGTGTAATTGTAACACTCACAGCAAATCCTTCCAACAAGGATACATTTAATTGTTATTAATTACAGGAAGCTTAGCACCGTGACACCCAGCTAGTTTGACGTTAAGCCGTCCTGTATGACAGGAATTATTTTACAGGAAGCTTAGCATTTTACAAATTGACCTTGAAATTTTATATCCCTTAGAATTTATCTAGAGCGATTTATTATTTAAAAAGAAATCGAAAAAATTTGAGCAATTTTTTGAGTAACTTTGTTTCTTACAATTGGATTTGGATTTTTATTTACTGAGTTAACTGTATCAAAGAATCACTGATCAAAGCGTCCAATCCAGTTTAGTGGGTGCGCCTGAAAGCACATGGCCAATATAATTGCAATAGGAAACAAATCTTTTATTGCTATTTAGATAGTGTTTAGCTCGGTGAAACTGTTTTTTAATTTTATATCAGTTAAACTACTGAGAAAAGTTTGAAAAGGCTTCATATTCATTAGAGATTACCACTGAACTAGTTAAAACCAATAAACTTGTTCACAATATAAGTAATTGTAATTTTAGAATTTCTAAATTGAAACTGTTGAGGTTACTGTATTAAAAATTTATGCAATAAATTATTTACTTGAAACATCCTCAGAGATCGGTGGCTATTTTCTGATCTGAAACAAACAGAACTTTATTATAACTCTGTCCAGAAACTACAAGGAAAGTATTTTTATGGTTTATTACTGGCCTACTAAAATACCCAAATTTTTTAGAAATGGTAATTTGGTCATGACCGATCATTCTAGTCTGCCTATCCTAGCTGATTCTGTCAGATGTGTTTCGATATTTTCTTCATTGTTTCTGTGACAGACCAATCCAGTAAGGATAAGACCCGGATGATCAGTAATGACCAAATTACAGTTTTGTCATCTTACAGACCACATAGAGAAAACTCACATTTTTCGAGAAATTATTAACTCCATTTGGAAAAGTCTTAATTTATTATTCATATTTTTTAGAACTATAACAAAACAATTTTTTTTTAAATGAGATTTGTTAAAGCTTGTATTTGTTATCAAGGAAAGGTTTCATTGAGTGAATAACTATTAAAGTAGGTATAAGATATTTTCTAAACTGTGGCAGACTAAATTAATACTCTACAACTTACTCTTGGGGCTACGGACGTATAGTTTGATCATTTCCGATCATTTTGGTCTGTCAGACAGTTTCAGCTTAGCCATTTTCAGTGGTCAGTCTCACAATTTTATTGAATAACTTATAAAGGGTTTCAGTTAAGCAGTAATCAGGCAGACCCAGTGGAAGATGGTAAGGCTGATGGATATTTTGATCTATGTAATGTTATAAAGTCAAAAATGATTGAAAACAACCAAACTAAACTTTTACTATTTTACCTTCAAAGAAATTATCAACTAACATAAGATATTGTGGTGAGGTCTGGTAGGCGATGAAGCATTGGCTCAATCTCTAATCATCCTGGTCCCAGTCAGATGCATTTTACCATTTTCCATTTTCAGTGTTGAACAGTCAATCACTATCCTTATTGTTACTAGGTGTGTGAAGCTTGTTCATGATTTTCTGTCTGCTAATTTTTTATGTACATAATAGATGTATTTTCTACTCCCAACCAAAAAGAAAATATTTGGTTAAGAGACGTAAGATAAACATCTACCACTAAGAAAATTATTTATCTAAATACAAGTGATTGTCAAGAAAATCAGTCTGTTCTATTGCAGCCTTGTGACATAAATTTTCTAAAATTATCTTGTAGAACTTCAGAGAAATGCCTTGAAAAATGCTGTGTTTATTAAAAAGAAACTAATATGAAAGCAATTTTATTAAAAACTTTTCCCTGATTAAACTATTATGTACTTAGGAAATTTTTTTTACTATGTAAGAAATAGTATTTTGTTTGATTTTTGAGCTGAAACTGTTTCCAATCTGCTTTCGATTAAAAAAAAAGTGTGTGTCAATGTGTGTATCAGGTCTATGGAACCTTATTCAAAAACCTTTAAATATTTGCTAGGGTGTGACAAGAAAATTAATAGTTAAAAAATTATAATTAAATTTAAAAACATACTTACTATTATACATAAAACTTAACATATCTGACCAGTAACGATGGATCTATTAAACATTTGGAAAGGCTTTGGACGTTTGAGTAACACAAAAAGTTTATTGCTCTTACTTTAAATCCAATTAAAAAATAATCTTTGCACAAGTAAACAGTTAGTTAAATTAAAATCGCTGATGTGGAATAACTACAAATTTGCACTGTCTGCAAAATGCATCCTTATTCTAAGTCAGTCTTGATGAGTTAGCTCGGTCAATCATTTACTTTTTTAATATTTAAAACTAGAAATGTGTCTTCCTTCGGTTCACATTAATATATATTTTTACAAGGTTTGAAGGTGTAATATAAAGTTTTATTATCTGTTTACTTGCAGAAATCGAACCAGTTCCGTCCATACTATTGCCTTGCAGTTCATGTACTCGTACATTCCGTCCAGAAGCTTTAGCGAAACATGCTAAAGTTTGTGAAAAAACATTGATGAAGAAACGTAAAAAGTTTGACTCGGCCAAACAAAGACTGCAAGGGACTGACATATTGAATATTCCATCTACTTCCAAAAGCGGTAAAAAAGAAACTCCTGTCAAGAACGTAGTGCAGTCGAAGTGGAAAGACAGACATGCTGACTTAGCCAGAACACTGCAAGCTGCCGCCAGGAAGAAAAGCGACCCTACTGTCCACATTAAGCCATCTGACCATGAGCAGTGTCCCCACTGCGAGCGATATTTTGGCCCAAAGGCATACGATAGGCACACTGAGTGGTGCAAAGAACAACAGATAAAAATTAAAAATTTTAGTAATGTACAAAATGAGGCTAGGGAAAGATTGCAAGTTCGAACTAAGGTAATTTGTTTTACCTGTCAAATCAGTTTTCTCACATTAAGAACTTATTTAAAGAAAATTAAATTTTTCAGTACCGAGCTCCTCTAACTAGCAAAGTTTTAACAAGAGATAAGTATTTGCCGAGAAGTAGAGATCCAAGTCCAATGAGTGTACCGAAAATTACAGGTAATCAATTTACATATGTTTCTTTTATAATATTTTTAAATTTTCCTCAACATTATAGAATAAAATTATTGAGCATAAAGGTTTCCTGATATTAATTAAATACCTTAAAGAGAAATACATTTAAAACAATTTTATTTGGAAGAAAACAAAAGTCTTTTAAAAATGGAACCCTCTATTCATTATATTTTCTTAAAAATTGATTAACAAATAAAATAATTAAATTTTAAAACAATAAAAAGCCATGTTATTTCTAATATTTATAAAACAGTGATAGGTTTGTTGTACCAGAAAACAATAAAACAATATAAAATACAAAATCAATAGTAATGTTTTGATCCATTTTGCTCAGAGTTCATGAACAGCTGTAACATAAAAAGGGACTGCCATAACAACATTGATTTGTTTATGTTCAACTTAATGATTTTCACCCAGCTATAAATTTTCAGTCTAATGATCTACTTCTATAATAAATTGTCTTCATCATTTTGAAAAATTTGTGTTAGATTTGTGATGGAAAATTTCAAAATGTTTGATCAGTTTTGACGTTAATATTAATAATGCAAATGAATAGAGGGTTAAAAATAAGAGGTAAAAAGTTTGAGGTATTATTTCATCTTCTGATAAATATTTTTAAATTTCAGATGAAGCCCAGAAGTCAAAAATGGCGAGTCCTTTGGAAAGATCAAGTTCCTTGAGAGTTAGTGGCAGGTCGAGAACGGTTGTCGTAAAAAACCCTGTCACATCTCCTAGGTAATAAAACAAATAAAATTTTATGACTATGTGTACTGATACATATTTTTTGCAGAATTCTTAATGAGAATAAAATTACTCATACTTCCTCTATAATTGACAATCGAAATGAGTCTATGAGTGCTTCCTTACATGAAAAAACAAAGCCGAAAATGTACCCAGAGGCGACCCCTAAGAAGAAGTGAGTATATTAAACAATTATCTTTTATATGAATAAAATGTAGAATGTACTAATGGTGTATTTTGGTATAACACGACTAATAATGTCAAATGTAATTTTTTTTTCTTTCCTACGTTGTACCAATATGTGCCAATTTAAGACAAATGTAGACACTTCTTTTTAAATTGTAAGTACTTCTGTGTGATAACTTTGGAAGGACCTGATCCAAATTGGGACGACCCACAGGATGTTGGTGCCACCAAGAGTTACTGTACCAAGAAACAGACGTATAATTAAAGGGCAATCTGGATTTAAGCTGAACGATACTCAGGTTAACCATGAAATTGAAGAACTGTATGTTTCTTCGTGTGTCATACATGAACCAGCTGAAAAAGGTCCCTCAGATAATAATCTTAGAATCCAAGGAATGGAATATTTAAAGGGATCAGGCTACGTAAGTAGTGATAGCAATCTTTCAGGTAGCACCCAACAGAGCCCCACTTCGAGGTCATACCTAGATTCATTTTTAGGGAGAAAGTATAAAAGAAAATTGCAACAATTTTCTAATATCGAAACGATAACTGCAAATGAAATTAAAGATTTTGTAGATAAAACGATTGCCCGTATTGATGAGGAAGCATCGCCAAAACCCAACGGCGTTGTAGGTCAAGAATCTTATACAATCATTTCGGGATTAGATATACCTTTATCTGAACCATCAACCTGTCTCTTGGATGAAGATGATTTAGAAGAAAATAAAGAAATTGATGAGTGTATGGCTGAAACGATAGAATGTAATTCTGAAATAGATACCAAAATAGAAACAGGTAACACCACCAAAACGATTATTTCATACACACTACCATATTGGAGGGACAGAATTCTCAACTTTGCTGCTAAACAGTTTATGCAGTTCCTTAGATGGAAATCAAAACAAAAAGCGATATCTTATACTGACGAATCATGTTCAAATATGCAAGAAGAAAATAAAGACACCAATTTTCAATGCACTGAAACACGGATTGAGAAAGGTGATAGTTTGCACGAACCATCAACAAGTGGCAGTTCTTCAGCTGTGAGCCCGAATGAATATATTTTCCGTGCAATGGGTAGCACTTTCTGTGATCCTGAATTTAAAATTATTGATTCTGTGACAGATGATTCCTATTTAACTTCTTCAAGCAGTAGTTCTTGTTCTTGCGATTCTTGTAGAAGAAATCAATCCTATATGGTTAAGATCAATAAGATAACAGAAGTAAAAGATGCTTTTACCAACATGGATTTGTTCGATACCTACATAGAAGCTCAAAACAATGCTGAGTCTGCAATTTTGGAAAATGCAAAAAACGAAAATTTAGATACAAACCCCGACTTGGAAACAAGACAAGAACAACAACAGTTCAATGGAGAATGTACTGAAACATCAATTTGTGGTAGCAATGCCACTGTTAATCATGATAATACAAATTCTGAGCAATCAGAATTGTGCTGTAATAAATGTTTGCACTATGTTGCAGCAAACATAGTTGAAGAAGTTGTCGCAACAGCTCAAATGTACAGTCTTACAGAAAAAAATGTTGATTTTTTTAATGAGCATTCCGACTGTTTGAACGAATGCGGATCAGAAAACTTGGAAGAACAAGAGGATACCATATTGAAAACAATTAAGTGTGATACATCATCTAACATGGACAAGTCAACTAAGTCAGAACTTATTTCAAACTTTGATTTGTTATCTACCAAATCTGATTGCAATACAAATAAATCAGAAAACACGGTTCAAGAAATTCTTCCAGATTCAAAAACTTTACAAAAAGAACGTTCAAACATATCAGAACCGGATGATATTTTTGATTTTTGGGATGCCTTATTCGTCAATAATAATGATTCTGCACCACCTTCCAGTTTAAGTCAGGACAGCGTTAATGAATATCTAGAGAGCCAAGAAAGATTCAATTTCGCCGAGGATATAATGGCAACAAAATTATCCGAGTTTCTTTCACAGGAGCCTGAAAGTCCATCTGGACAGCATTCATTAAGTTTCATGGATGAACTTAATTGGATGTGCAGGCCCGAATGTAAGGGGAAATTGAGCAAGACACTTGATGCGAAGCTAGTGCAGACTGATTTGACATCATTCAATGATATATTTTTTCAAAACTTGAAAAAAGGAGAGTTGAGAAAATGCACTCAAGATAATGTTAATAATGTAAATAAAAATAATTTAGTTACATGGACTGAATTAGCAAAGAAAGCAGTGACAAATCATTGCAGTTCTCCTAGCAGTGAGAGTACACAAAGCCTGGATAGAGATAGCCTAGAATTTGATAATTGCTATTTTATAGGAGACAACGCAAAAACTAAAGAGAAAGTTGAAAATAACAAAAATAAGAATTTTATTAGAAAAGTCATTAATCATAATGATAATAATAATATCGAAAATAAATCACTTATGCCAATCGACAGCCTTGAATTTGAATCATTTGCTGAAGATGCTTATACAAGCTCTGATTGGGATTGCAGCTCATCGAACTGGCATGAAGAACGTGACAACTTTACCGTTCACAGAAAAAAAGTCAAATATTACGAGACAATTGAATACAAGCAGGACATGGACGATTACAAGACGGTAAAGACAAGCATTTATGAGCTTCCGCCTTTAAAAACTGTGCCAAAACTCAATTCGTCGAAAGATTCGCATAAACAGTCCACGCCCCAGTACCCCCCGAATTTAGAATCGAGCAATTGGCCACACCACCATAGGGTTTTGGAGAAAAATAGAATGAAACGGAAATCTGGTTGCCTGAGTACTATAAAGTTACCACCCTTAAAGAAGCCAAGCAGCTCTTCCTGGTTAGTATAGATTTTATGTCTGTTCTGTAGGTGATTTGTACTTCTTCCTGCAGTATTACTATATTTTATTTACTATATATTAATTTTTTTAACTTGGTATTTTTTGAACAGGATACTCTTTATTATAAAAATATATTTATGCATAGGTAGGCATAAAGTAATTTCTTTTTAGTTCTCTCTAGTAAATAACTTATTATTTTATCTCTTATTTACTAAAATCATATTAAGAATCCAATTTTTAATATTTTAATAGAAAAAAAAATTGAATGCCATTAAATGTGAATTTGTCTCATGAAATAGTAATTTTTCTTGTTATTTATTTTTGCAATACAGTTATTTATCATAATATGTTATTTATATTGATTCATAACGAATGTGAAACAATTCTAAGTCTTATGGCTAATATTACATATGTGTAACAACTATTAATTAATATTACTTTTTATGATTGCAAATTTCTTTCGACAACAATTTAGAATATATAAAAAGTAAATTGGCTTCTTACTATTATTTGTTAAAAGTAATATCTTTGGGTCTGATTTTATAGAGTATTTCCACAAGTAGTCAGACATGTCATTGCAACTGTTCTTCCAAAACGATTTACATTAGAGTGAGTTAATTATCATACAGCACGGATTATTGAAATTTTGCACATTTTTGTTTCTTGTCCTGTTGCACAATATAGATAATGTACATGAAATTCAGTAATATTAGTGTTGTGATATTTGTGTAATATTTAATCACCATGTAAATAATATTGCATAGTTTATGTTAATTTATTTGTAATCAAAGAACTGTAAATTTTATTCTCTGTAATTTATTTTAATTTGAAAATTTTCAAGCTGGTTTATACTATTTTGATAATTTGTGAATATTTTTTGTTTGTTTTTGTCAAGCAAAAATATATCGGAATGTATAGTGAATGATCAATTTTTAGGTTTCAATCAATTGTTAAGGGTTAAAACACTATTTTAAGATTTTTGTGATGCAACTTTCTTTTAATTTATTCATGCATGTTTTTGATGTGGAACATTTGTTTTCTTTAAACCCATAGTCAATATTTTTCTAAAAACTACTTCTATTTCATGTTTAGAGATGCAGAAAAGTATGACCCCTTTGCGTCTGCAGAGCAACAGATGCTGGAATTGTTCAGCCCAGAAGGGTATAAAAGCAACAACAACAACGGTGAAAAGGAAGCAAGTCCTTCTAATCCTTCCACTGCCAAAACCTCTCCTGTTTCAGCATTTGCAATTTACACACCAGTCACTAGTAGTAATGCCGGGTCTCCTGATCAGGAAAATAATGAAAACAATAATTTAGATTCAGACGGGACCATGTCTCCTCCGGTTGAAAAAATTGATAACAAAAAAAATTTTAGTCTTAGTAATTTAAGCTTATGTTCTATCATTAGCATTGATTCGGTCGATTGTAATCGTAACGCATTGAGTGGAAAACACAATAGAGGTAGAGAAGAAATGAAACGTTCGTTCTCGGCGGTCGAATCAAGTAAATCAGGCCGGCAAAATACAAGAGCTAAGTTAAATATGCAACAAATGCTATACGGAAAAAATGTGCCTGACCCTGTCTCCCCTGTCAGTCCGAACCCGAGCGGTAATATTGAGACGTGCGAAGCTGAGTTGTTAGTCTCGATGTTAGAATTTGAGAAAATGCTGAATTCCTCTCCAGTACCTTCGATCAAACCTTCCTCCCCTTTTAGTTCCAGTTCCAATCAAATTGAAAAGCCAGCAAACAAAGGGTCTGATGAAGAAATCGCAGAAAAGAAAATACAAAAATTCTCTACCAGCATTGATTCTGCGTATAGTAGGTAAGGAAGGTGGATTGATTTATCCAAATCCTCTTGCTGCGACCAATGAACCTTCTGTTTTAATGCAATTTTGTTGAATTGGGAAAGAAACTTCAGGGTCTATGTAGACATTTTTCTTCTTCAAATGAATAAATTTATTTAAATATGAACCATTTAATGAGGAGGGTAAATCAAGCAAATAGGCCACAATTTCATATCTCCAGTAATAAAAATTAAAACTACAATAGAGAAATGTTAAACTCGCAAAACCAGTTGTTCTTGAACTAATAAAAACATGATATAATAAAAAAAATTAAAAACCACTGGATTAAACCATCACCACATACAAAGTATTCATAAGCATATAAAAGAACAGTGAGCAAATAATATTTTACAATTATTAAATACATATATAGAATAACATTCTATATTACCAATTTTCTACAAATAAAAAAATGTTCGGAAAAAAATTTAAAGAATCAACTAGTACCTTCGGTTATTCTGACTTCTGTATTGTTCCTACAAATGTCTGCATAAAGTTGGAAATAATAATAATAATAATAAACAGATAACTAATTTAATAATTTTGAAAATTTCAAGTTAATATTGTTTGTTTTTGCTTTTTTTCTTAATTTTTCATTTTATTGCGAGTGTTATATTTTAGTTTTATCTGATTAGCAAATAAATAGAATCATTTGATCTAACTTTGAACTATTAAATAAACTTTTATTTTATAGCTGATTTATACAAAATATAACATTGTTAATTATTACTTAGTTATAAAAGTAACTTGATTTGTAAAAACCATGTTGATTTATATTACAAATGTTATAAATTAAAGTTTTATAAGATGTATTTATAACTTAAATCAAACCTTGTAACTGCGAATTTAATATATATCGCATACTGAAGAAACAAGCAACATGGATTGGGAATGTCTTTATAAAGTATTTCTTTAAAACTGAATGTTCGTGGTAAATATATTTGTTTAACTATTGACTCCTTTTGTTAAAAACAGCCGGTGAAGTTTGTTACTTTAAGTAATTTAAATCATTAAGACATTTACAAATACGACAACTTGACAAAACAATAAATTCATATACATTTATGAAATTGAATAGAATTCATGTAACATGTTCTTTTTGTTTTGACAGTCTGACGAGAGCGGCTGGAGAAGGTGACTCTTTGAAAACCGAAGGTTCACGGTTTTGCCATGAATGCGGTTCGAGGTATCCTGTGCCTATGGCCAAGTTTTGTTGTAATTGTGGGATAAGACGAATTGCACTTTAACAAACAAACAAAAAAAAAGTATAAAAAAATAAAGATAAAAATGTATAAAAACTGAAAAAACAGAAAATAATGTATGTATTTCAAATACAGAAATATGTATATAAACAAATGTCTTAGAACTTAATATTGTAAACAGCAATTTAGAGTATTTTTTACTAATCAAAACTTCTAATTTTTAAGGTAAGACCTGTTTTATTCATTTTTTTGTTTCTTGATGATCTGTGGTCATTAATAAGGTATGAGACTATTTTCTCAACTTGAATTGCAATTTCACTTTCAGTATTAAATGGTTTTCGTTTTTGTGCAATTAAGGTAAGAACTAGTCAATCAGAAACCAAAACAATGAATTTTGATAATGAATCTTGAAGATATCTTAATAAAATACGCAAATGTACTTTTACCTATATGTATGTTTTGTTTAAAGGTTAAATTTTATTTTACAACAACCACTAACATTTAAGACAAATGCTAAAACCAAAATATGTATATAATAATTTTGTTTCATCTTTCTCTAGTCTTAATTGTTTCATATTTTTAAACTTTGTTACCATAATTTTTGCATGGTTGTCTATGACATCGAAATTTGTTTTAATTTTCAATGATTACTTACCATCTCACTACCCTGTACTTAAGTGAGTTACTTAATTGTGGATCATAAAGACTAATTAATATTATGTATAAGGAAATAATTTAATGTGCAGTTTTATTATTTTCATCATCATAATTTATAAAAGAAAAAAAAACAGTTTTATGTTATCAATTATATAACTGTGATAATGTTTTGTATATTTTTAATATGAGTTACATTATTAAAAATACTGCACACGTCATGTATTTGTATGCATAGACTCTATATACATTATAATTTAAAGTAAAATACAAACGTGCCTTTGTTGCTCAATTGTGTTGACGATGGTTAACGACAACGAAAGAAAAATAAATGCCTTTTTGTTTGGTGCTAAATGAAAATAACTGTTACTCTAGTATTGTCTTATTGTAGTATTAACTAAATATATTAGTTGCAAAAAGAAAGTAGTTATACCATAGCTTTGAAAAAAACTAGTTGAGTAATTTCAAATTATTAGAATTTTGTAAATTCATTGTACGGTTTTTATATATTTCAAAACTAATTTTCTTTACAAATTATCTTAAAAGTGTTATTTTTAATGTTTTTCTAATTTATTGTTTATAAAACTAATTAACTTAGTTTGAAATAACCACAGAAAAGTATGTTTAAAATTTTTATTTCAAATTAATTTTTGTGTATACTCGGCACTACTTACTTTCTGTTTTTCTTTTTTTTTTTTTTTAACAATAAAACAATGTAATGCAATTGAAGTCTTTTATTTTTGTTTTTAATGAAATTCATTATGATCCTACATGAAACTCTAATATCTCGTAGCTTGAACAATCTACACCAATCACAATCTGCATACGTAAACAATAATAGGAAAATAAAAGAATGCCATTGCAGCGCAAAGTAATACAAATTATAAGAATAATTCCCCACAGGAAGAAATCTCACAATTTAACATAGCTAGCCAGGCTGTTAGTAACAAGAAATCACACAAACTCAACAATTACTGCTAAAATAAGCGAGGATAGACAGACCAAAAGATAACTATAAAACTGTAGGTTCATCACACCACGGGAGGAAATTCACAATTTAGCATAGCTAGTAAAGCTAAATTATTAACAAGAAATCACCCTAACTCATACTGAAGCTGGCAAAATGTCAAATTGTGTCTGACTGACAAATTCAGCGAGCGTAGGCAGACCAAGGTAACTATCAAACAATAAAATTTCTGTTTTCATTATTAGAAGTATCAACCACTTTTTCACTCCAAGACCATATCTTGGTCCAGTGTTCATAAGCAGTAAAATGGCAGGTAGTCAAAAATCAAAATGAGACGGCCTCTTTATTCCCTTGCGGACTGCGACCAATATTGGCCTGTCGTGCAATCTCCATCATTGTCCAGAGCACTTCATTAAAAGGCTTTTTACTAAATTACAGTTTTGTTAAGTGCTCCCGTGTGTATGCTTCAGGCCTAGGCTTTTTCTCTTCGAGTAGTAGGAATTTCAGCCTAGTCTGCTTAGACCTTCATACCAACAGAGGACAAGTAGTGCTGTTTCTCTCTCTTCTAGGCAATACCTGCGCACGCATTTTTTTGCTGTTCTGAGTTTATACATATGCCTCTGGAGTGAGCACTTCCTTTGTGATTATACCTTCTAGGACCTAGGATAGTAATTCTGCCATGTTTCTGTAATGTGACTTTGATGAATTTTTTGCATGCCTGGGATCTTATTGAATTAATGACTTATTCTTAACCAATTAATTGACTGATGGATATATGTTTTTGGCAATTTGTTATGGTGCAAGTGTTCAGGACCAATAGGTGTTCTGCTTGAACTTTTCATTAGCCAATTTATCTGCCTCCTTGTGGCCCCTCTGCTCTGCTATACAAAATAGTAATTTTGTTGTTTTCCCCAATGCTTGACAGGTGCTTGATGCAATCTTAAGCAGTCTGAACTTTACTACCGATGAGGTACTTTAGTGCTGTATAGGTGCCAAGTATATGGTCTTTTGGTTATAAGCAGGTTTTGATTTCCCTGGCACAATTTTTATTATACATGGTCTGCGCCATAAAGACTAGTATATCATCTAGGCTTATTTGCATTTACTATAGGTACCAGCTCCTGACCAAATACTCGGTCTCAGGTCCATCCATATACCAGATAAAGTCAGCATTAACTGGGACCCATTTCTCCCAATATGCTTTTTTTTATCAAATCTGAATTTTTAGAAAATTGTCGACAAGTATCATGTGCAGGTAGGGTACAATGAAAACATTAACTGTAAAAAGCAGAAAACCTAGAATTGAATATAATTTTGTCTATGACTGCATTTTAGATTTAAATTTCTAACATTTTTCACATGCATCTCCCCATGACTACATCCATCTTTCACTGGGAAATAACATAAAAATTTTGACTGAATTTGGCGAAATGAAATCTTGAAAAAGAATTATGACAAGCAAATCAGACTTCAGGCAAAGATGAGAAATAGAATTATTATTAATTTTTAAGAGCGTTTTAACGAGAACTAGAAAATAAAGGGCTTTTTATAAAAGGAATTATTTTGTATGTAATTTGCTTTGTACAAATTCTTATGACTTCATCTATCTTATCATATAGTAGAAAAAGGATAAAAACACAAATAAATGTAACAGTGCTGTAATCTCATTTTATGAATTTTATAAATAATATTTGTATGTACAAAATATTTGACATAACAATAAAGATATAAGCCAAAATCAAATGAATAAACGAATAACAAAATCGTTTATTGCTTGAGGAAGGTATAAAAAAATTATTGTAAATAAGAATGTACCTTTTTTTTTATAGTATTATTTTATAATTGGGTCTCCTTCTATCCCAATATGGGATAAACATCTTCATATACAAAGTATGTACGTTCAACATTTTGACGTTAGTGACTCCAGTCCATTGTTGAAAATATGTCATTGCAGTTAGACAGTATTTTAGGTGAAAGGATAATTTGTTTAACATTTAATTCTTTATCGTTCAATTTACCTGTCTTTTAAAAATTTAAACTTAATGGAGGTCCAGATTTCGGTTTCTATAAATGTACAAAATTGGCGATACCAAGTCCTCCTCAATTTTACAAAATATTACAATGGTAACACAGAGATTTCAAAAGTGTATTCTTGTAACACACTCGATAATAGCCAGTCATTTTACTATAAACCTTCGATATATGAACAGATAACCCATCTCTCAATTTAAATGGTTATACTAAAGAGAATACTAGCCCTCGATTCCTCCAAAATCACTCACATGAGAACACCAGCGAAGATTTTACTATCTTAATTGCATTTCAATAATTATATCTGGATACACAAATTATAAGTTTAGCAACGAACTTGAACTTTTATAACTAATTGTTGTCTGTTAAGATTTCAAACATAGAAACAAAAAAATTTAATGGATATTATGGAAAAATTGATGAGTGGTAAAAAATGATACTATACAAAATAATTATTTCTGAGTGTCAGTCTATTAACATTTGGGTTTTTCTTGGCTGGCAACACGTTCGTGTGTCATTAATCGAGGCGAGGGTTAAATTTTTTGAAAAGATAGATAGGCTTCTACTGTGAATGAGCCATTGCACCTGCTGTAGATGAGACCCCAGTTAGCTTATTTTCACACTCCTGTTTGCTGTTCATCAGCTGCATATCTTTTAAATGTTTTTCTACCTGAAAAAATAAAACAAAAATAAATAAGAAAACATAAAGATATAGTTAAAGGGTAATATGAGTCAACTTACTACTTTTCGAATATGTTTATATGCTTTGCTATGACAATCACCCTTTATATTTTCAGTTTTGTAAGGTGGTGTTATCGTTACTTGATTCATTATTAATATGTTTGGTCCTTGCCAAGTTGTTTCATTTATTCTATAACCAGATCAGAACAAAATTAAAAAGTACGTCTACACAAAATTTGACCAAAGGGTCTTTTTTTAACATACGTTTTGCTAATGGTGTGAAAGAGCAGCATACCCTCATGGGTGACTCCAGCCTTGATCGCTGCTACGAGACATTTTTTCTGTTCAATGTTATTTCTTACCCTATTGTTTATCTGTAATTTGAGAAAAAGAGTCAGTATGGCGCAAAAAGACAAACAAATTTAATGTCCTCACCCTTTGCAGATTTAATGGTTTGGTTGGTTCAGGAGGTGCAGTTACTTCTTTTTTAACTTCAACATCACTAACTAACGATAAATTTACTATATAAACATTGTTGCATCTCGGTCTATTGTTTGATGCAGGGCATTCTGTACAAATTGTTAAGGAAAATAGAAATTAAATCATTAGTCTTAAGAATGTAAACAAATTAAGGATTGGAGTTGACATTTTTAGTTAGCCATGACGATTATTAATGTTGTAAGATTAGGTGTAGATGAATATGCAGGGCGTGTAAAAACTGCGCCCTTCGAGAACAATTGTATCCTCCGTTCTGTACCTATATCACACTGGTGAATCATACTGATGAGTTCATCAAGAAATTTGATTAGTAAGCTTGATTTCAATGTTTCAAGGTTAATGATTAAATAAATATCCTATAGCAATATGTTACATTTACATTTTAACACATCCAACTGAAAAAAAAGAAAAAAATTGAAATTTGTAAATAGTGAATATTTGTGTAATCAATTATAAGAACAATTTGACCTTTTGTTTTCATTCAATAAAAGAAAATAAAACAAAATATATATAAAAAAATTAATTAGAAACAAGTCAATATACAATTTAAATAAGGGTCCCAATATTTTCAAAGTAAAAGTATAAGTAAAAATAAATAAACTGTTTTTTTAAACTTCAGCAAAACCAAGAAAAACGAACTGCAATTCGGAGAAGTAGATACATAATTTAAATAAGTGTCAATATTTTGTATTTCACTCATAAATTGTATAAATTAGTATATATTTAGATTAATTAAAATTTTGATTTTTGCTAAGTTTCTTATATTTATAAAAACTTCAGCAAAGATCGCAGAACTGGGGGACAATCGAAAAATCTATATTTATGATGGTATATATATTCTGTCTCCTCTTCAGCCACATTGAGTAGTCCCGAAAACTTGGTATGGCTGAAGAGGAGACAGGATTTATTTGTCTTGAAATATATACCATCGTAGATACACATGTTTTTGGTTACCATTCCATTCTGCAATCTCTGCTGAATTAACAAATATAAATAGGTGTTTTCACTTTTTTAAAAAATCAAAGTAAATAAAAAAATAATAAACTTTGTGTGTTTTTAAAGTTCAGCAAAACCAAGAAATTTAAAAAAAAACTCCAATTAGAAACCAAGGTCAGTATATATTTTAAATAATGAACCCAATATTTTGTATTTGAATTGTTTGAACTCCATAACACCAGAGATAATTGAAATTTTAATGCCAGTAAATAACCAACATCAACAATTTGATTATATATACATACTAATATACTTATACATAAATTATAAATACTAATATTTAATTAATACTAGTATATTATAATATAATAATTGTACAGGTATGTGTCTTTTTAAGGTGGTTAAATATAAAAGTAAATAAGCATTGTGTGATTTGTGAAAGTTCAGCAAAACCTAGAAGAAAAAATTTAATTGCACAGTTTAGATATATGATTTAAAAAAGAATCCAATTATCTCCTATTTCAATTATCTCAGGTTTCACTATTTGCTGGGAGTTTTCTGGCCTAAGTTTTTAAACTGGAACGAAAAACTCCATAAAATGGTGAAACCTGAAATAATTGAAATTTCTACATCAGCAACTAAACAACATGAACAATTTTCTTTTTTTGGTGTGTGTGGGTGTGTTTTCCCTCCAGTTCAGTAAAGTCAACAAAAAACTGCAATTGGAAACAGACGTTGGTATATATTTTAAATAATGATACAAATATTTCGAGTTTGAATTGTCTCAGGTTTCACTATTTTATAGTATTTCAAGCCAGCGTTTCAAACTCGATAAAAAAATAACACGTGAGATAATTGAGCAAAACCTAAAACAAAAAAATTCAATTGCAAACAGAAGTTAGATATATAATTTAAACAAGGATCCAAATATCTCCTATTTCAATTATCTCAGGTTTCGCTATTTTCTGGAGTTTTTCTTGCCCAAGATTTTAAACTGGAACGGAAAAGTCCATAAAATAGCGAAACCTGAAATAATTGAAATTTCTACATCAGCAACGAAACATGAACAATATTCTTTTTTGGGGGGGTATGTGTGTGTTCCCCCAGTTCAGCAAAGCCAATAACAAAAAACTGCAATTGCAAACAGGTCAATGCATAACTGAAAATGAGTACCTAAATATTTAAAATTATATAAATTAAGTTAATATTAATCATATACATAATATTGAAAGTATAATATTGAACACATTTGAAATTTTACTGACCAATAGATATCAGAAACCTTACAAATAAATAAATATATTTATAATATCATAAATAGTACATATAAATATATTATAATTATATATAATTATAAGTTTTTTAAATTTCAGAATGCTTATTCTTCTGTTTTCTGGGTGGTGTTCATGGATCCAAAGCTCACAGCTATTATTATTTTATATTTAAAGTTTATTCGACGGGTAGGACAAAAAGAAACGCCCTTCCTTATGAAAAATATTCATACAACATACAATTAGATCATAATCAAAAGATAGTTATTCAGAAAAAGTTGGGACAGTCGCAGATCGCAGTCTAGAAACATTGCGGATTGGAAACAGCCGACGCACGGTTGGAATGTTGACGTACCCAACTGGAAGGGTCTCGCGCTTCCCATCCACCCGCGCTTCGCTGGCAAACAGCCGCCCCCGGTGGAAAAAAAACCAAGGGGACTTGGGCTTTAAGTAAATCCTGAAAATCCCTAAAGTCCCTCCGAGGCTACCGAAGGGTTTTCCACGGCGTGTTTTCCATTTTTGAAGTACAAAAAAAGGATACTCAAAACGAGCATTTTCGTCTGGGGGTCGAACGCTTGGACCTCTCCTTCCAGCACTTTGTTGTAACAAGTCTTGCAGGCGACGATACTTCCAATCGCAAAGTATTCACTCACGCCAGCCATTTTCTACATCACAAACTCTACCACAATGTACTGAGAACAACCACGTCCTATTTGATATCTGGTCGCATCAATGGAAAGGTTCGATAACGCCGTTGTTAACAAATCAGAATACAGCGACCACTTGTTGTTTTTTTTATTTTCCTTTTTCCCATGTTTTTCCACAGCGTTTTACTTATTTTTTTACATCGGCGTTTTTACAGGACGAGCTTTCTACACCGTTGTACCATCGGAGGACTAAAATTTCAAATTCTACCCTTTGGTGATTTTCTGAAATATTTTATGACAAATATCGCTCGTTGAAAATCCTCTTTAGATTTTTACACTTTATTCGTTAAAACAACAAGATTCGTATCATACTTTAAAAATTATGCCCTAAAATCGCTCTTTACGGACCGCTGAGGCTATGGTCCCTCTTCGATGCCACCAAGCGTCACCAGAAGTACAACATTCAAAACGGGCTCAGGGAGTCACTTCTATACACAGTTTGGTGACCCAATTGAACACACATTCCAACTATCAATACAATTTTACCACACCTAAAATACATATTCAATTTTTAATTTGATGTTACCAATTTATTTAGGAATATTCTAACTAAAGAATGTGTAAAATAAGCAGAAAAACTTATCGAGAATTCCGTAAACTAATTTGACAGAAACAATATAGTAGAACTTGCGTGCCTTCAATCAAACAATTTCTGAGTAGAACTATCCGTTCAACTATTGAATTGATTTACTCATTCCAACATATTTTTTCATAAATTTTATGTAAATACACATGTCAAATCTGTGGTTCTTTTTACTTCTAAGGAAAAGCTAGCTGTAATCAAATCTCGAACTTTTTTTCGTCCTCGAGAAGTTTTCAAATTAGGGTGATTTTACTGGCCAATACATGAAAAATTATTGCCACTCAGGAGTAATAAAATGTAATTATTAATAAGATTCGAAGCAGTTCGACCATGTTTTTCGGTTGGCATAATTTTTTTAAACTTATTTATCTGTGTTAAAATGTATATAAATTTATTTACAAAATTGCATTACTATGTCAAAAATAATAAAACTTCTTGTCAGACATATTTATTTTCAATATTTGCACAAACATAGAAAGGGGCTAGTTTTAAACTGTTATTTTTTTTTTTAATTGCAGTTTGTGGAGTGTAAATTGAAGGTCATGGGTTCGAATCCCGCTCTTGACACTGGCTTTTTCACCTCAACTAAGACCTTACATAAAAGTAATAAATAATTGATATAATATTAACTAGGCATCAGCTGAAAATCATCACAATATGGTTTCCAGCTAGACGAGTCTTTTTCAATCTAATAAATTTACATAAATAAAAACGTGTTACACGTATTTAAAAATGTATTTAGTTTCAATACGCTTATCCAATTAACCAGGAACTAGTTGAAAACAGCCAAAATATTGTGTTTTTCTTTGTTGAGGAAAGCTTACAGCAAGTCTTTTGTTGTCTGATAAATTTACTTACATAAAAATAAAATTTATGATACGTATTTAAACATGTATCTATATTCGACTTTTATCAAATTAACCAGGAACTAGCCGACAACTACAAAAATGTGGTTTTTCTTTGAGTAGGAAATGTTTTCAGGAAAGCATTCTTGATCCTGGCTATATAATTTGGCGTGTATTAAAAAATGTATTTCTTTTCGATAAGTTTATTAAAACAACCACGAATTAGAGGAAAATGACCAATATATGGGTTTTCTTTATCGAGAAAATGTCTACACCAAGCGTGCTTTTTTCTGATAAATTTACTCTTATCTTAATCCCGTTTCCAGATAAGTATGGTTTTTTTGGCTAATATATGCCAAATATTTTTCACTTCGGTAAAATTCGAGTGATACATATTTAAAAAACGTATTTGTTTTTAAATATTTGAATCAAAATAACGAGCAACTTGCAGAAGAAAACTATCTATAGATGATTTTCCTTAAAAAAAATGTAAATTCGTCTAGTTTGGCTTATTGTTTATTTTATTGATGATGTCTACGAGGGTAAACACAACAATCAGCGAGACTTTGCGGACTCGTTTTGCACAAAAAAAAAAACATCGATGAATCTTGATAGTCCTGATCTTAGTGTTCCCGCTTTATGGTCTATTGAACAGACTAAATAGTCATAAATTAATATAAAAAAATACATCAGCAAAGAGCTAGTTTCCTATTTATCGAATGTAAAGGACAGAAATGAAAAATTTAATTGGGAAACTATTTTTTTTTCGAGTTTGAACCGAGAGCAATAGTACAACATACAGACTCAAATATGATTGAAAAGAGTATCTAAGCTTGAAGAATAAGCAATTTGAAGAATAATTACCTTTGGTTGAAATATATTTTATTTAGGATTTTGCTAGTTTATATTGATGGGATTATGTAAGGACTTCGGATGACGCTATATTAGGGTCTGGTGGGAGAATATACAGGGTGTTGCCTAGGTTTACCACCTTGTCGATCCTACATGGCACCCTCCTTTCTTGCTTTTGCTTTTCCCTTTCTTACCTCCGTGATCTATTACCCACTCAAATTATTTTAGGCTAGTTATATTAACTTTATTAAAATATTTATAACCTCGGTGGAATTTTCAAAATTTCAAATTTCCCAGCGGGGCGATGAGGGGCAGACGGCCGAGGGGCATGTAGCCGGTGGAACGGTCCCATTTCGTTTACATTTTACAGATTTGGCATTTTTGGTACTTTTTTTAATGTGAACACCGTCGAAATGGCATCTGTGAACATACAGCTATCAGAATTCAGCGATTTGTGCCGCCTTTGCGGTGCAAAGACTAGCGTTTTGATGGGCCTCCACATATTCGACAGGGAGGGCGACCTTAGGCAGATATACAAGAAAATCACAGCTTGTCTTCCAATACAAGTGAGCCCTAACATGCAATTTTTTTAACGAAAAAATTAATTTAAAATTAAATCTTCACTCCCAGGTGAACAACAATGATAAGCTTCCAAAAATGGTGTGCGAAGAGTGCGTCTACAAATTGGACGCTCTGTTCGAGTTCAGGGAAAAGAGTATGAAAACAGAGTATGCCCTGAACAACATGCTAAAGTCACTGTATAGTACAACATGTAGCGAAACTCTCGGCATACAGATGGAAACGCTCATCTGCACCCAGCCGCTCCATACTGACAGCATCCATCCGCATACCAGCCCTAATGTCGAGGTATAACTCTACTCAATGAAAATATGTTATTCTTAGCTTTTAAGAAGTCACCATAGCTACCAACTCAATGAATTTTTGCAGTCTCTACAAATGATCATGTGGACAACATGACATTTGAATTGCTCTGACTTTTATTATGGCAGCTAGTGTTCAGACAAAAGTTCAGCTGATTAAATCATGCTTACCAATTCAATTGTAGATTACAAATGATCATATCGACAACATGACAGTTGCATTGCTTTGACTTTTAATATGGCAACTAGGGTTAAGACAAAAACAGCTGATTAAATCATGCTTACCAATTCAATTGTAGATTACAAATGATCATATCGACAACATGACAGTTGCATTGCTTTGACTTTTAATATGGCAACTAGGGTTAAGACAAAAACAGCTGATTAAATCATGCTTACCAATTCAATTGTAGATTACAAATGATCATGTGGACAACATGACAGTTGCATTGCTTTGACTTTTAATGTGGCAGCTATTGTTAAGACAAAAACTCAGCTGATTAAATCATGCTTACCAATTCAATTGTAGATTACAAATGATCATGTGGACAACATGACAGTTGCATTGCTTTGACTTTTAATGTGGCAGCTATTGTTAAGACAAAAACTCAGCTGATTAAATCATGCTAACCAATTCAACTGTAGATTACAAATGATCATGTGGACAACATGACAGTTGAATTGCTTTGACTTTTAATGTGGCAGCTATTATTAAGACAAAAACTCAGCTGATTAAATCATGCTTACCAATTCAATTGTAGATTACAAATGATCATCTGGACAACATGACAGTTGCATTGCTTTAACTTCTAATATGGCAACTAGGGTTAAGACAAATTCTGCTGATTTTTTCTTCTTCAAATCATGCTTACCAATTCAACTATAGATTACAAATGATCATGTGGACAACATAACAGTTGCAATGCATTGACTGATATATTCCAACGAGAATTTTTTTTTAAATTATGCTAGCCAATTCAAATGTAGACAACAAATGATCATGTGGTCAACATGAAAGTTGCTTATCTTGTTACTATTAAAACTAAGGAAGAAATTTTTTTTCTTTTTTTTTTAAATGATGGTAACCAATTCGATTCTTGAAACAAATGATCCTGTGATCAACATGAAAGTTGCATTGCATTGATGGCTTGATTATTTTTTGTACTTAAAATTTTAATATAATTTCTTTTATAAGTATTAAATTTTCAAGGCAATCTACCACATTACAAAATCATGGTCATGTGATAATTTTATTGCATTAATTTTTATTATTGAAACTAAGAATAAGACAGTTACACTGAGTTGATTGATACTGTTGCAACTAGTTGCTTTTTTTTTTGTTTGTTTAATGACGGTAACCAATTCAATTTTAGACAACAAATGATCATGAGGGCAACATGAAAGTGACAATGCATTGACTGTTAGTATTGCAACTAGGGAAAAGGAATTCAATTTAGTGTAACAAACGATCATGTTGTCAACATAACAGTTGTATTGCATTGACTGATATATTCCAAGGGATTTTTTTTTTAAATTATGGCAACTAATTCAATTTTAGAAAACAAATGTTCATGTGGTTAGCATGACAGATACATTGTGTACTACTTAAATCCATTATATTTAGTGGTCTATTGACCAAATTACTTCTTTCAATTAATTAATCTTTTTATATGGTTTTGGTTGAAATGAAAAAGTTAGTGTCACAAGCGGGGTTCGAACCCACGATCTTTGGCTCAATAAGCCGCTGCTCTAACTCTACTCTCTACTTGATACTACTAGATACTATTGCAATTAGGGGAAGGTTTTTTTTTTTTTTTTTTTTTTTTTTTTTTTTTTTTTTTTGTATGTGTGTTTGTAGACCACGATTTGTCAGGGTGTGTCACATAAAAGTTCCATTACACTGATGATTTATTATTGCAACTAGGGGAAAAATTTCTTTTTCAAATCATGGCTACCAATTAAGTATGTACAACAAATGATCATGAGGGCAACATGACAGTGATATTGCATTGACTGTTATTATTGCAACTATGGAAAAGAAATTCAATTTAGACTAACAAATGATCTTGTGGTCAACAACGTTTTTTTTTCTCTTACAAATCATGCTTTTTTTATTTTTCGTTTTTTAAATTTGATTGATTTCTGATTAGTTAAGGTGTTTTTATTTGTCAGTTTCAATCGAGTTCTCATATTTTTACTTTTACTATGTGTTTTGTTAATTTAAAATGGAGGAAGAAAGTGCAATTCTGTCACTTAATGGGTTTTTTTTCTTACCGCAAAGGGAAAACTGTAGCTCAGACTGCTAGGAAAATGTATATGAAGAATAATTACCTGTATAAAGTCTATTTGTCTATAAGTTTTATTTAGTAAAAATCTTTATCGTATAAATTTGGTACATTCTCAGGTGGATGTCCATATGGAGAGTAATGGCGACCACCTCGATACAATTATGGGGATTCCTCTCAATGATAATTCAAGTATAAAATGCGAGCCAGAGCTTGTACTCATAAAAAATGACAACTCACTTTCAAAAGATCTATTGCCCGATGATAGCGAGGGCGATGACAGAACGACATTAACAGCAGTAGACAGTGCCCATGACTCCTGCTCAATGAACGAACAAATAGAAAATAATATTGAGATATCTGAAATGAGGTAAAATAAAAATAGTGAATATATATTTTATCATATTGTATATTTAAATTTAATATACAATTAGGTAATGTATTTATTTGTTTTAGAAATGTACAGGCTCAAGAATTAAAAACTAATGGAGACATCGAAGAAGGAAGAAATTTTCTTGTGGCAGCACAGACAGAACATCAAGAAACGTGGTACTTTTGCAACATCTGTGGCAAACCTTTTGAAAATAGTAGCGAGTTCCAAGAGCATTGTGAAATACATTGGAAGAAATGCAATATATGCGGTATCTCATGTTCAAACGATGATTCTCTTCTGGCCCATATGCAGACTGCTCATAGCCAGTCTGCAGTATTGGAACCTCAAATAGAAGCTGATGACAAGTCAAAACCTGCACCGAAAAAAGAAGTAAAAGGGGATGCTAAAACCTGTCATGAATGCGGAAAGGAATACAGGACTAATTACAAACTTGCTCAACACATGAGGAAGCACACTGGTGAAAAACCTTTTAAATGCTCAATGTGTGAAAAGACGTTCAGGTCTAAAATTGGTCTTGCCCAGCATGAAGGGAAGCACACGGGTCACTACGACTACACCTGCAATACATGCGGAAAAGGCTTCCAGTGTAAGTCTTACTTGATTGTTCATCAGAGGGTGCATAGTGATTTGAGACCTTACCCATGCGAAACATGTGGGAGGAACTTTAAAACAAAGCACAGTCTTTTGGACCATCAGAACCGTCATTTAGGACTGAAGCCTTACCTCTGTGAAATATGCGGACGTGGTTTTATAACAAAGGGCTTATGCAAGAGCCACCAGAGGGTCCATTCGGGGACGGACAACCGTCAATTCCCTTGCTCAGTTTGCAATAAATTGTTTGTGAGCAAATCGTACTTGGTGACACACATGAGAATTCACACCGGTGAGAAACCGTTTATGTGCGAAGTCTGTGGAAAAGGCTTCTTAACGAGGGTTGACTTGAAAATACACTCGACAATGCATACAGGCGAAAAAAGCTTCGTTTGCGAAATCTGTGGCAAAGCATTTGCGAGGAGAGATGCACTGCGCTGTCATAAACGTAGCCATACAGGTAAGCCAGTAATAAATCAATAAAATCTAATCCCATGTTGAACTGGCACAGGGTCATTTACTGGGTTGATCTTCACTCGAGAAACTCCTGTTCCTAAGTTCCTCACTGAAGATGGCGCAATGCCAGAACATATTTGAATAACTCAACAACTCATGAGTAAGTGAACCTGAGCTGGTTCTACATGAGTTCACCAACTCAACAAAACCCATCATCAAAAAGTAATTTGTTTCAAAAATGAGAATCATATTTTTCTTTTATAGTAAGGTTTATGAAATAAGTTTTATTATCTTCATAAACAATAACAATTTCAGGATTCTTAACGTGTTTATGTTTAACATATTCCACTTAATCTCACTTGTGATTGACCCAGGAAGAATCCTGTTTTGGACATGTTTCTTATCCTTTAACAAAAAATCAAGCATCTCAGGTTGTACTATTTTATGGAATTTTTCCAGCCAATTTTTTTTTCTTCCTTGGCTCGCAAAACTCCATAAAATAGTGAGACTTGATATAATTGAAATTTCAACATACAAAACAACGATTATTTGGAGATTGTGAGATGCGGTCTGGTGTGAGATAGGTTTAGAAAAACATTTTCTTTATCGTGCCATGTTTCATTCTTTATTGAGATTATTTTCAGGGCCTGGGATTTACAAACATTGTTTGAATTATACAAATGTATGTAAGATGTGAAAAAATGAATTTATACTCTAATAGAAATTTTAGACTCAATCAAAGTATTTGTACTCACTCAAAGTGTTTGTTTTCTGTGTAGATGTGTCATTACTGTGTTGTGATGACACATATGATTCCTCCCGGTTCCCTCTTTTCTACCGCTCGTAATAATCTTATAATTTTTAATATTCAACATGTACATAATAATCTATGCCAGTTCATTTCCTTGGCTGAGTTAAGTTTGACCTTCATGATATACCTTCTGGAAGTATTGTTGACCTCTATTTACGCTGCTGGCTTCACCAAGGGTGGTAGCTTTAATACTTTCATTGCTGGTTTTTGGTCCAAGCAATTGTGATACATCTGACCAGATCACCGTAACTATGTTTGTTGTTCTGTCCTTCATGACCCACCTCTGAAAACTGTTGCATGGGGCGTCAGACACACCCCTTTCCACATTTACCGTTTCCAGAAGATTGTGAGTGCCTTTCCTCTATAAGTTTATAACTAGATAGAATTAGATGGGAAGATGGTTTCAAAAGGAATTAAAAGTGTTTGAGAAGAAAAAGGAAACGGTTTATTCATTAGGATTATTATGTCATGACCTAAAAAGAGGACTGTGGTTTTTGGGTTGGGGTGGTTCTCTTACAGGTGACCAGATATGTACTTTGTCCTTTTACCAAGCTACTAGGGGAAATAACACATTTTTGATACATTCACCACACTAGATGCACCATGTTATAAGTACTAAGTAAAAAAAGGTTGCACAATTGTTTTCCTTTTTTTTCTATGTTAAATATGTAAATAATCAATGTCGGTCATTTTAAAAATAGGTGAGAGACCATACAAATGTGATATTTGTGGGCAAGGCTTCACCCAATTCTCCCCTATGGCCATTCATAAAAGGCTGCATACCGGCGAGCGGCCTTACTCTTGTGATATTTGTAGTAAAACATTTGTATCAAGATCCACGATGATGTCACACAGGAAAAAGCACGCCTCTTGACATACGGCCAACTCGACTTCTTCTCCGACACAAATGCCAAGTACCACACCGGTGACTTTGGCAACAATCTGTATGTAGCAAACAATTTTTTTTGTTCCTCTTTATCTTATTCAGTTAATCAATTTAAACGATTTTTATGTAGCACCTATCGACCCAGGTTCATATAGGCAGATATTTGTCGTGTCGGATGCCACCACGTACACACCTGTGCCAATGGTGGAGGCTGAACCAACCCACAGCCAGTAAGGAGCCGAGTTGTTGAATTGCGAATCTCATAAAACAAGTGCTTTTAAAGACTTATGTTACAGGTATAATTGACTTTTTCTTTGTGATTTTTAATAATGTTGTGTCGTCTTAAAGGAATTTTCTATAAACACCGTAGAAATCAAAATTACGTTTTTTGTAATAAATGAAATTCTAAAAGTGTGAACGTTTCTTCGCATTTTAAAAACTTGTAATATTCAAGACAAAATTGAAATGTTACAAAATATTTTTATATTTATAATTCACGTGCAATTATATTTCAATAAGTTTATGTAAATTATTTGCTAAAATTTTATTTTGTCAATGTTATTTTAATACAAACTTATTCACTTACTACTCATAACTGTATATTAAATTTAAAAATGAATAAAATCATGCAGTTAGGTAGTAGGATTGTAAAAGTTACTAGGTTTGTTTCATCACATGTCCAAACCATCAGCAAATTGGCAGGTGCTAGCACATCTAAGTTTTGGCGTTCCATCACAATCCAAAAATCCAAACCCAAAACTCAAACTGTCAGTTGGCAGTTCCAACAGTTTTCGAGTTATTTCATAGACAGTATCAATTTTTATGTATTCTCATATATTCTTTTCAAATCAGAATAACAACTCAGACTGCTTACTGTAATTCGTTTGGGGGTTGCAGCATTTAAATAAATAAAAACAAATTAATTTATAAAGTTATTTAAATCAAGGTACATTTTTAAATTTTCATAAATAAAAATGCATCTTTCTAGCACTCAAAAAATTCTATAAAATAAAAACACATTTTTATAAAATAAACATTATGCAAGTGTAATTATATTATGTATTTATTACGTGTCTTATGACTCAAAATAATTATTATTATACAGAAAAAATGTTGAAAATTGCAGTAAAAACAATATAATTACAGTAGTCTTGGATTGTTATTCTGATACGAAAAGAATATATGAGAACATTACACAAATTGAAACTAAAAGAAGGCTAAAGGAGAGAGAATTGGCCGATTGATTTTAAGTTTTTGTCGGACAAATTTCAACAGAAGTCTGTTTTAAAAAAAGCGTTCCAACAGAGTTAAGAATCCGTGATAACTCGATGTTTGGGCATGCACACTCATAAATTGCGGATTAGTTGGCGATGGTTTGTGATTGTGTGTTGGAACAAACTTACTAGTGGGAAAAGTACAGAACAATTGTTCATATTCTTAAAAAATCAAGCAGGAAATAATTTAAAACTAAATTAGATTTTTATAGTTTTAAATATTATATAGTTAAAAATAACCATTTAATTATTTATGTAATCAATTATTAAATTGCTTTCGTCAAAAAGTTAAACTTTTGTGGGTTTTTAGTTTGATTTATGTATTTGTTGAAATGACAATTTTGTTTTGAAATCAATCAGTGCTTTGTTTATAAGAATGTGATATGTTTCAAAACGTGTAATGAACAATTTAATCCAGTCTCTTTGTAACATGTTCTCATTGTTTCATTGAATTCTGATTGGATAATCTTGCTGTTCAAGATCGGGCTTATCAAGATATGGACAAATGTTAACTTTAGAATTTTAACCTTTGTTACTTTTGAAAGGATTACTACTCTTTCAATTTTGAGACTGCTTTTTGTCCATTTGAAAAGATATTGTACTTTTACCACTTTGAAACTCGATCTTTGACTCTGGAAACAGTTGTAAGGGTAACACCAAAAGTTTTACGTTCTTAAATCGATCCGTCTCTAATATATTATTTGTATACTGATTTTCTTAGTTTTCACATTGTATGGTATAATTTTTTTTGCAGCTTATAAAATTTTGCATTGTACTAAAATCGTAAGGTGACTAAACTTTATGAATTTTGTAAAATATTAATTAAATCGATCTTGGAAAATCCTAATAAATTTGAAAAAATTATTCTCTTTGAGATGGATTTGTTGATATAACTCGATGGTAGAGTTATTAAAATTCGACAGATTCTTACTTCCAATTGTTAATTGTTTAGTTGATTTTGTTTTGTTAAATTAATTTATTAGTTTTTTTAGGTTTTTTTAAAAATGGATAACTAATCTAAAGTTATAAAATATTCTAGTTATAAAATGACTTTTCTTCTGTCAGCCTAATGGAGCTAAAGATAAAATACACTAGATTAAAATTTTGCAAACTTTAGTTTCATTTTGAAGTGTTTTTGGATTTAAGTAAGATCTGACAAAGGATGTTTTCAATTTGTCTTTATCCTTTTAGTATTAAGTATAGTATTATAATATTTTTTATAAAGATGCCATTTAGGTTTAATTCTCGAATAGATTGCTTTTTTAAAATAAATATAAGTTATTGTTAATGCCTTAACAAACAATTTATTTAATTTGTTTTATGGTAAATACCTGCCTGTTCTTAATCGTATAATTGTCCTTTTGTATGTGATCTGTTTAATTATTTACAAAGTAAGTAAGAGATATGTTGTACTACGAATCTCTTGATTGATTTAAAGCAATATTGCTAAAGACTATTTTTATAAAAATATAAAATACTCCAAAACGTGTCTGGCTAAAATATATTTTAGATTTAATGATTTAAGTATGAAAGTTGATTTAAAGTGATATATATATATATATATTTTAGGTGTATGATTTCTTGTGACAAATATATTCTTAGGAACGTAGTCAATTTCTTTTAACTAATCCTTTATTTGAAAAAAAGCCCTTTCAAGTTTTTTTATAACTATAATTTGACCAAGCTGGGACCCCGACAATCCTGAAGAACAAGTATACACATGCTACTTTGTTCTCGACTTCTCTCTTAGTGGACAAAAAATTGATTTACTCCCGCAACTGCATAAATGTAATATTTTATATAATTTTATAGTAAGTTAGTCTTATTTATTAACAAACATATTAAAAAGGAATAGTCCAAATCTGCTTAAAAAATAAAGTCTACATTTTTCAAGGGGACACTTGTTGCTGGTGGTGCTTTGGAGGAGGGCGGGTGTCCAGTGCCATCCACCAGTTTGTGAATAGAACTAACCTTTAATTAATTATACACAATTTTTTTTTTTCGAAATGAAAAATTTGTGTCAGGCGGGATTCGAACCCATGACTTTCGGCTCTATACGCCACTGCTCTACCACTTGAGCTACCATGACTTCGATCGCCTATGCCACAAACTTCTCATTTCGACTACCCAATTTTATTCTAATTATAAGCACTGTGACACAAATTTTTCATTTCGAAAAAAAATCATGTATAATAATTGAGTATTTATATATTTAATAGAAGCTGATAAAATTTAGTAATGGCAAAACAACCTTAAACATGTCTATAGATTGACAAATTTAAGTTTTCTTTTTACCGACTGTATTCAATACTGTTACAGCCCTTGGCAATGTTGGGACAGAATCGGCCTTCAAGGGAATTTGAGATCGCCTGTAAAAAAATTTAAATATGTCAATTTGTAGACATATTTAAGGTAGTTTTGCCCTGATGATTACCTTAAAATAAGTCAAAAGTTTGGCACTAGCAACTAAATTTACTTTTTTCTTCTTCAAGACGATACCTCGACCCAGAGTATTTGTAAGTGAAAAGTGGTCCATACTTCTAATACTCAAAACTATCCTTTCTGACCAGTGAATTGATATTTATAATCATTGGAAGCGTAGGTGGCCGCAAATCAGATTGAGAAGGTGCACATCCCTGTAAGATAAGGTCCTGGGTTTGAATCCAGCGGCCTTCCATTCAAACCTGATATACAAACCTGCTTTTGTAGGGGGTTCATACAACTTCGTTGTTGAAATAATCTCAAAAAAATATATTTTATTTACTCTAAATTTTAAGCACCTAGTTGACATCTTGGCAAATGATTGTAAGATTTATTCAGCTCTAGGTTCATACTGATCCACTCCAACGGACTTTACCGACTAAAAAATCAATTTAGCAGCATTAGAAGGCAGAAATAATTTCTTGAAAATTTGCAATATATTTACAATTTATTATTTATTATGCACAAAATTACACATATATATCAATGCATTCGGTGATGTCAAATCATAAATAGAGGTGAAGCACTACTTAAATAAAATAAAACATAGACAAAAAAGAACATCCATAATCCAATTCATTTTGTTGACAAAATTAATTTACAATTTTTTTGTTATTAGGAGACAGCTTAAATTACAACTATTTTACAATAAGTACTGCTCTTAGCTCTCTTAAAGATGGCTCACACTGTGTAGGAACTAGCTATACCTAAGTCTCCCCTCGACGCGTAAATGCATTTTGTAATTGAAGGAGAAATCACTGGGCCTCATTTTGGTAACAACGTTTGTTTCAATCCAAAATGAATGACTTTGAAATCATTTCAGTTTAAACAAACCTCCTTAAAGACGCTTTGTCTTCAATTTATTGAAACTAATTTAAATTCTATGTACACGATAGTAGAACATCAATACTCACAAGGATAAAGCAAAAATTAAGTTATTTAGTTTTATCATTAATTTTTTCAATAACAAATTAACTGATAAGCTGTGAAATTATGATAAAGTTAAATATAAAATAATAAACTAAGATTTCCAATTTTTATTGCATTGTATTTTTTTAAAGATCTTTTTTTCTAATGAAAATCAGCATTAATCTTCAATAGTGATGTTAAATTTTTCCCTTTGGCATATTCCTAAGTATGTAGGTAATTTTATAAAATATATTAAAACGTTGCTTTCAATTTGGTAAAAATTAAAAATATAACTTACAATACATAATATAAATACTGTAATTTAATTCAATTTTAGTACGAATTTTTACCTATTAAAATAAAAATGCAATAATAAAACATTGTAATTTTAAACTATTCATAAATCACTCAACTTAAAAATTAATACCATCGTTAACTAACAAAATCACAATCGGTGTCAATAAAGAAATAATTTATTTTCAAATGTTGAATTAAGCTTGTAATGTAATGTGCCCTAATATGCATAAGGTCAATACCACGTGTAAAATGGTTGTGGGCGGTGCTGAGAAGTGACGAAGCTTGTATTGTAGCCTGTGGTGCCAGGGCTGAGAAGTGGTCCAGGACTGGAATGGTGTGGCGGTAAAACGGACCAGTTGTTATTTCCACCGTTGGGGCTGTGAAGTGACACCATATCACCGGAATTTGCCACCAAACTTTCATTGCTAGTACCTAAACGAAAAACAATTGAATTTTTACTTCAATGCTATTTTATAATATCACATCATAAATTATAAATTATTAAGTGGTTCTACAAAAAATCTTATCTCACCATCCCTAACCATGATTTTTTTTAGCCTTCGGTAAAATCAAAAATTGGAAAGCTATTTATTATGAGTATTCCTACTCAGATTGTTCAACAAATTCCTCATCTTTTTAATGCAGCATCAATTAAATCTAGGGATTCTAGCTGATGATCAGCATTGACGATGGAAGAATTAATAGAATGTATTTAAAAAAGGAAGAAAAAGAAAAAAATTTGACATTGCGTGTCACTCTAACTCTACAATGAAATTTTTGTAGTTCATTCAACAAATATGATATTTATAAAAGGAGAAGATGGATTACATATCACACAGTCCAACCACAGAAGATGGCAGTATGCAATCTACAGACAAAACCGTGAGAATTGGTTCCACTCAAACATCCAGAAAGAAAAGCCTATCATGGTATGAACTTTCCAATTAATTACATTAATAATAATTAGGGGAATGATCATCCAATAGCAATAAAAAACTGATTGTATGTATATTTTAAAACAATTTAAATTTAAAACTAAAACAATTAGACAGATAGATGTCAGCTCATTTCTTAATATAAAATCTCTCCCTCTCTCTCACCTAGACTTAACCTCTTTCTATTCACTATTCCTTCCTTCTCTCCCTCACCCCTCACTATCTCTATTTTTCTCATTCACTAACCCTTTCACTATTTCTTCCTTCTCTCTCTCACCCCTCACTATCTCTATCTTTCTCTCTCACTCACTTTCTTGACCTCTTTCTCACTAACTCACTTATTCTTTCACACTCCCATTATTTTTTTCTCTCTCTTTCTCACTAACTCACTTATTCTTTCACCCTCCCATTATTTTTTTTCTCTCTCTCTCACTCACTAACTCATTCTCTCTCCCACCCTCTCTCTTCCTTTTCTCACTCTCTCTCTTCCTTTCTCTCTCTCTCTCTCTCTCTCTCTCTCTCTCTCTCTCTCCCTTTCTCTCTCTCTTTCTCTCTCTCCTTTTTTTTAACCTATTTTTTTAATTTAATGTATCTCATTGTCTATTTATCAGCTGTCCTCTTCTTATCCTACTGTTGTGACACGGCGGAAAATTCGTGGTGATTATGTCATTTTGTTCATGCTCCAATGAAAAATTTACCTGTTTGTGTTCCCATAAGTGCAAGACTCGTCGGTGGCACGGGCGATAGCATGGAACCGGGGCTGATTGGTATTGGATAAACGTTGTTGGCAGTGGTCAGCAGTCCTGGAGAGCCGCCGCTCACGTGATGGCCACCGGAGGCTCCTAGGGTCTGCATCTGCCGAAACAAATTGCAAATTAAAATCAAACGGAATCGTGGACCTGTGGAAAACGGTTACATCTGCCCTTTACAATTCGAAATTATCCATCTGCCACAAACAGTGGGGGGAATCGGGCATTAATTAAATCCAGAAGGGAGGTGTAATGACTCACCTGTGAAGAAAGCAACGCTGCTGTCGACGAAGGCGGGGGTGGCGGTGGATAGGCGTTGATGCTGTAGCTGTGGGTCGTCGGGCTTCCACTTCTTTCTTGCTCCATTGAACTCATTACATGGCTGCTTCCGTAGCCGCCATTACCCTCACTTACTGACACTACAAAAAAATACAAAAAGGCGGATTTTATTACACAAGAATGTTACACAAAAGAAGACAATAATACAAAAATCACGCTTTTTTAATTTAATTTGTAAACATTTTCAACTGAAGTAGAGGTTCTAAAAGTAAGTTTTATATTCAACCCAAAGCGAATGATTATGTTATTACGTATATTCACAATTAATAAATCTTAACTAATTATCAAACTATTGAATGTAACTGTACTCCAACGTTTATTTAACTATCTTGCAGTTTAACTAATCATACATAAATTGCCCATTATGGACTTTGGCTCTGCATTAAATACTATACCGATGAAAGGAATAATGACATTTCGACTTAATCAAGTATGTCGATTTGTTGAGGTAGCCGAGGTGTTTGTGCACTGCGTCCATCAGTTAGGACTATAGTGCTCCTCCAGTATAACCCATAGGTGTATAGCTCACTGTCTAACTTCTGGTATTTTATTAAGCCCCTAAGCTTGATAGCGGCTCCTCAGTTTGCTGCATTAAGCTTTTCTTAGCCAGTGTTTAGAACCTTGGCTTCTACCTTATACCTTCTTCCTAACATACGATATATACTGCTATTTCCAGCTCATGTTGACAGAAACTACTTAGGCTATCTTTTGCCACTCCCAATATTTTCATATGCTTTCAAGAGATATCCAATAATCCTAATTTTCCGTCTTTGCTTTAGCAAGTTGTAAATTTGACCGAGATTTTCTTTGCGTTTGAGTCTGTCTCTGTCTAGGGTATGTTATTGTAATATTGCCATTGCCTGCCGAACACCAATTTCACACTTACTACCTTAACTGTCATTTCATTTTTGCTAGTTGTAGGAATTAGAATACTAAAGATTGATCATTCGGAGATCGTGAGATGCGGTCTGGTGTGACGTAGGTTTTAGAAAAACATTTTCTTTATCGTGCCAACGTTTCGATCTTTACTGAGATCATCTTCAGGGTTGTCTTTGTTTAAGTTTTACAAATGCATGAAGGATGTGAAAAAAAATGAATTTGTACAATGCTAGAAAATTTTATATTAAAAAAAAATGAATTTATACAATGCTAGAAAATTTTAGATAAAAAAAATGAATTTATACGACACGACGGACAAGAATGACACATCTACACGGAAAACAAACACTGAGTGAGTACAAATACTTTGATTGAGTCTAAAATTTTCTAGCATTGTATAAATTCAATTTTTAATTTAAAATTTTCTAGCATTGTATAAATTCATTTTTTTAATTTAAAATTTTCTATCATTGTATAAATTCATTTTTTTTAATCTAAAATTTTCTAGCATTGTATAAATTCATTTTTTTCACTTCCTACATGCATTTGTAAAATTTAAACAATGTTTATAAATCCCAGGCTCTGAAGTACGAATGCTTTGATTGAATCTAAAATTTTCTAGCATTGTATAAATTCATTTTTTTATTTAAAATTTTCTAGCATTGTATAAATTCATTTTTTTAATCTAAAATTTTCTAGCATTGTATAAATTCATTTTTTTCACATCCTACATGCATTTGTAAAATTTAAACAATGTTTATAAATCCCAGGCTTTGAAGATGATCTCAATAAAGATCGAAACGATGGCACGATAAAGAAAATGTTTTTCTTTATCCTACATCACACTAGACCGCATCTCAGGATCGCCGAATAAACAAAAATTAACCAAGGTCACTAAACACCACATAATACTAAAGATTGTTAATTTGATGTGGATGTTGCTTTCCAAAACCTAAAATTTGACTTTTTGTCTCGGTAATGGTGAATAACAATTTTAATTATAAAAAAGTAAGTAATGAAAGTTTAAACTTACGCTGTGGAGGGTGCGAGAAGGAAGATGGCTCTGGAATCATGTAAGTCGGGGGTGCTGTACTTGACGGTGGATAGCTCATCGGGAGGCCCATCCCCGGGTAGCCAGGTGTGGAATTGCTGGCAAGTTGCTTCCTCAAGCGTGCTCTTCTGTTGCTGAACCAAACCTGTAAAACGGGTAAATCTTAAAAATCCAATATCAAATTTCCAAGTGAACAATTGAAGATCGAGTCTTCGGCGAGGCAGGGTTTTAAAGGGTTTCGTCATTACCTGAATTCGTGCTTCGGTGAGCTTTGTCCGTTGAGCGAGTTCCTCCCGGGTGTAAATGTCTGGATATTGCGTCCGTTCGAAAGCACGTTCCAATTCGTCGAGCTGCTGCGCCGTGAAGGTGGTCCGGCTCCTCCTTTGCTTTCTCTTGAGCGGGATTCCGGGTTCGGAGTCGCAGTCGGAACCCTCACTGCCTTTTCCTGAAAACAGTAGCTTTTTTTTAGAATGAAAAGAAAATCAGCCTGCGGGAACGGCCGGGAGAAAGCAAATCGTCATTCCCGACTTGTTCGGCATGTCAAAGGGACGAGGGCTCGGCATAACCGCATTTGATGTGGGGGAGGGGTCGACAGGTCGAAGAGGGCTGGTAGCCGTGAGTTAAGACAAATGAGATGTGTTAGTGTCAAGACGGGGATGAAAAAAGAGCCAGCCATCCTACACCGGCGGCAACACAAAGGATACCACCAAACTATTTTCCAGAGCTTACACATTGTCTGTTCCTACCTAAGCCAGAGGGTGGTCAAAGGGAATCGAATGCTGTTTTATTTGAGCCATTGTCGAGGGTCCACTCACTTTCAGAATGCGTTGAAATCACCGAGGCAATAACGTTTTCAGTTTCATTTGACCACACTTAAAAGCCAATAAAAGTCCCAACTTAAGTGGAACCGATATAAAATTTTTTATCCTCATTGTACATACTGAAAAATTAACCATTCAACAATATCCCATTGTTTATTTAATATCTTAGTTTAACAGTGTAGTATAAGACAAGTTAAACCTTTCAAAACTCAATTTAATCCCTGTCCGTTTTAATTTAAATTTCAGTGGAAATTACCAGAATAATTTTCAATCAATCCAAGGGAAATTTTACAAGAAAACATCTCGCCTAGTTTCCTATGATTCTTTTTTTTATGTGTGCGCAACAGCAGAGGTCATATTCGGGTGAAGTCGGAGTGCCGGTGTTTTTGAAAAAAAAGCCCGTTTGTAAGTATGTCGGGTTCGGATGCAGGGCCGCTGGATTCGAACCCGGGACCTTTATCTTACAGTCATTTGCGCAGTGTCAACGCCTAAACCGTTGCGGCCACCGATGCCCCTTTCCCAACAATTAAACGCAACTAATGTACAACTTTCCATTTTTTTCTCCATAAATTTTAGGGACTTTTTCCAAGGGTTGAAACCTTTTCTACCTGCGATACAGTTCGCGTTTCGTGGGAAAAACTGATGACCTCGTCAATTCTATAGGGAGGTAAAAAGTTTAACTGAGAGCACTAATAAGATCAAGTCAAGCGGTTTCTTAAAGATTATCAAACTCAACTCTGGGGCCAACATACTTAGAATTTACGTCTTGCTTACAAAATGAACTAAGATAAGTAAATCTTAGGCTATAAAACAATTGTCAAAAAAAAAACTACAGGTTTATTAAGATGGTTTTGCTCCATTTCTATATCTGCTTATAATAGTATAAATATAGTACATTAATATAAAAGGAAACCTTATTATTTTATGAGTCAACTTTTATTTACAAAAGTTTACGAAAAGCTGGTAGTCTAGAGGGTTATTTAAATAAAACAATTTACCCCTTGTTACCACTTGCTTTGTGGTTTTTACTAATTATAACATCACAGATTAAAAATAGTTGTGGGTTTTTTATATTAGAAACTGTCAAATGGAGTAAAACAGAATGTGTGGGAGCTGGAACGAATCGGAGAGCCAACTGTCTGCATCAAAGACAATGACCGTATCTAAATGAGACAATATTGTTCAAAAGACTGGTACCGCGCGCGTTTGCTTGGCACCGCTCGCTAGTCGGGAAATCCGACGTTCTGAACTTTTCCACAATTATAATTGTAATAGGACGGGAGAAGAAAGGACAGCGTTTCGTAAGAAAAAAGACTCACCTCACATAAACAATGACCGTGGAAATCGGAAAACAACGTCGTTATGAGCGGAATCGCGTTTAACTGGTCTGGAGGTGTTTTGGACAGTTGATGTAATAGGATGGAGAGTCATCAGGTTTATTTGTTTATAGTCTTGGTCCTTACATTTTGGACACAAATTCAATATAACTTAAATCAACCTTTACTATACATTAAAGCCTGAAACATCAAGGTGAACAGAAAAACATCCAGAATTATACACGTTTTCTTCAAATACAGAACAAACGTAAATTTTTCATTCAGGCTGTGTGACTTACGTAAAACAGCTCATTTTCTGCTTTAATGTTGGAAAAGCCCTAAAATTGAAATCCTTCTTTAATTTCACCTTACCAGGTCTTACCAGTTCAATTTACTTTTGGAATTATTGAGTAAAAAGGCCGTTTGGCTTAAGAGTTATGAAAACAAAGTTTAAACAATAGCTTGACGCGCAAGCTTCATAAACAAACCATAAGTCCTATTTTCATGATACAAACCGGTACAAAAAAATGTAAGGTGGTCTCATTGAAAATTCTAAAGTATGACCTCTGCATGATTTGAAGAATAAATTTTATTATTAGTTGGAGATTGTGAGATGAGGTCTTGTGTGACGTAGGTTAAAAAACATTTTCTTTATCGTGCCAACATTTCGATCTTTATTGAGATCATCTTCAGGTCTGGGATTTACATTGTTTAGATTATGCAAATACATTTAGATGTGAAAATCGATCAATAAAGATCGAAACATTAGCACAATAAAGAAAATGTATTTTTTAAACTACATCGCACAAGACCGCATCTCACGATCTCCAAATAATCATTAATTAACGGTCACTAAATATACTGCACAAAAATAAATTTTATCCATTATGTTTATTGGTCTAATTGACCAAATTACTTCTTTCAATTAATTATTCATTTTATGTAATGTCTTGGTTGAGATGAAAAAGCTAGTATCACGAGCGGGATTCGAAACCACGACCTTCGGTCCAATACGCCGCTGCTCTAAACACTTGAGTCACGACAGCTCAAATATGTGTGGTGAGTAGTGAACGTTAGTCGATAATTATTCAGAAATCGTGAGATGCGGTCTGGTGTGATGTAGGTTTAAGAAAAACATTTTTTCTATCGTGCCAACGTTTCAATCTTTATTGAGATCATCTTCAGGGCTCAAAGTGTTTACCTTCTGTGTAATTGTGCCATTCTTGCGTGTCGTGTTGAGAGTGATCTCACGATTTCTGAATAATAGCTCAAATATTTTGAGCAACGGCGTATTGAGCCGAAGGTCGTGGGTTCGAATCCCGCACGTGTCACTAGCTTTTTCTTCTCAACTAAGACCTTACATAAAAAACTAATTAATCGAAATAAATTTTATTTTAATCAAATATAAAAAATTTGACATTTTTAGTCTATCTGTAAAATTAAGAAGAAAATGTGCTGTTTCACTCAGTAGTTACAGTCCTGTGTATTTCAGACTTGAACACTTTATAAATTAACACACGAAAAAGAAGGAAAACAAGCCGTAATAAGAAAACAAATCTTATAATTACATAACTGCACGTTTATTTTAATTAATAAAACATTTCTTTAAAAAATTTGAATAAATAATGCATCTAAAGTAACAATTTACACCCCACCTAGTGGTTAATATGGCGAAAAAAAAGTACAATTTCCGTTTCAATTATAATAGTTTTTATAGACTGGGTACTACGGCTAGTTAATTAATAAATCCATCATCGGTGTGGAATTTTCATTTGCCCTCCCCCCTGGGAGTTTATTTAACTCGTAAATGTGCGTTATTAAAAAGTGGATAGCCGGGTGGCTGCCTAATGGATGTTTTGCCGCTTCTAATGGGCTAACGTATTAGTCCTCGCCCTCGACTGACTTTGACAAATTTTAAGACCGACTCGTCTGGTTCCGGCATCCTTTGTTCCCACCGACCTGTCGAACAAGTCTGATTCCGTTTAATTTTCATCTTCTAATCTTGACGGAAGAAGATTAACCCGAATTGCATTAGAAAACATGTCAATTGAATCGTCCTTACACTACAGTTGACCATTCTCATTCTTTTTTCAAGCTAATTTAAGTAAACGAATATTTAAACAAAAACTTTCATATTTAAAAAGTGCAAATTTCAGAAAGGAAAAGAAAATATTTATAAAATGACACAAAAATACAAATGCACTGAGGCTGTCCAACAAAACTGTGGTTATTTATCAGACGTTAAGAATTTTTGTTTTTCATTAAAAACAAGCAATTTGACCAAAATCTGTTAAGAGGAAGAAAAAAAATCATGATATTAGGGATGGTTAGGGTGAGATGCGGTCTAGTGTGATGTAGGTTTCAGAAAAACATTTTCTTTATCGTGCCAACGTTTCGATCTTTATTGAGTTCATCTTCAGGGCCTGGGATTTACAAACATGTCTTTTCTATACCGACTTCCTTCCCCACCCCTCCAAAATCCAACATATATAAACATAAAACAGCAAAATCTCACTGGCACTCTCAACACGACACGCAAGAATGGCACAATTATACAAAAGACAATCACTTTGAGTGAGTAGAAATACTTTGATTGAATATAAAAAATATATTTTGCATTGTATAAATTCACTTTTCCACATCCAAATTGTAATTGTAATATATAAACAATGTTTGTAAATCCCAGGCTCGGAAGATGATCTCAATAAAGATCGAAACGTTGGCACGATAAAGAAAATGTTTTTCTGAAACCTACATCACACTAGACCGCATCTCACGATTTCTGAATAATGATCGATTAACGGTCACTAATCACCACACATTTCTTCACGATATTACTGTGAGTTAAATTATCAAACGTCAAACTTAATATTTTTACATTGAAACCACGTATTTTGTGTCTTAATATTCAAATATGATTTTCAATTATATATAAAAAAATTAATAGGGATATTGCCAATTTTGCAGTATTTTTTCTCTCTAGCGTTTTTATTTTTTTAAATATAAACTGCATTAAAAATTATTATGTTTTTTACTGAAGGAAAATTTAATTTTGAAAAATAACAAAATTAAAGGTTTTAATTCCATAATTTTGTTTATTGGACACAATAATTTTTGTAAACCAAATAATACCGTATGTAATGTTCTCTGTTAGCTAAAACCTCTGTGCACCTGTTAGGTAAACTGTTAATAAGGTTTTCACTAATTTCATAAGGAATTTCACTCGATAGATGTTGCAATACTATACTCAGTTGTTGCAGGTCAACTGGCTGCGGATGAAAAACCTTCTCAGCAACGCATTCCTCATG